TAGCTGACACAGCATAAGCTACAACGTCATAGTCGGCGAGCCGACTTCAGCATAAGCGATAACGCTGCTCTTACGACATGCGCAAGGGATCAGGTTACCGTCGCTGGCCGCTGCGATCAGGGCACTGAAMTGAGGCATTCGCCGCGTCAGCACCATGCGCGCAACTGTTTACCCAATGATATATAAAGTCTTAAGTTGCTACGTGCGAGGGGCACTCGTTAACTTATATCACGCGCATATCGAGTTTTTCTCTAAATATCAATAATTACTCCTGATATTTGATTGTCGATTAAAACCTAATCGAAAGCTAGTTTTTTAATTAAATTTCTTACTTGTCTCTTACTTGTACTCTTACAAGTTACACGATTGAACAGCACGTTCAAATGATAAAACTTTTTTTATCAAAATGATTGATCATTAACGCTTCACCGTAAAAATCCGTGGCGGGCATTTGAAAGATGTCATACAGCGCCCTTATTGAAGAACCTTATATACGAACATTTTACAAAAATTAAAGCCTCCGGCTTTGGGCGTTTTCACGGACAGACAGACAGACCGACAAGGATAAAGTGATTGTCAAATTTATTGATGAAGTTTTATTTGATTTTTAAATGAATTGGATAACATTAGTTTCATACCCTCAAAAAATGACTGTTGGGACACTGAAATCATTGTCAATACAATATTTTCTTTCCGTTCTAAATCATATTTAAAATATTCACATATACTAACGAAATATTTTTAAACCACTTACTCAATTTTTAAAAGTATGGATCCAGAACGCAACGTTAAACGTCTTCGTAAGCTTTTCGGAGTATCGCGGACAATTCTTAAGAGGGCAGCTCGCCGACCTAGCATAAGTGACCAGGAAAGTGAAGAGCAGCAACGTAAGAGATTTCAAATGCTGCGTGAATTACGGCAACAACGAATATCTAGTCTTGGTGCCAATCAACGATACGTATTAGAGATTTGTGCAGATATGATTGGTATAGATACTGAAGAAGTAGTAACTGGCATAGTTGACGAAAATATTTATGTCGATAATTTGAATGGACTATTTGAAGCAAAGGGGCCAATGGCTGTAATGTTGAGCAACGCTCCTATGATTGGTTATCCCGTTGACTCAGGACGTTATCAAGATAAACTACGACATACGGAAGTACATCGAACTATATGCTTAACTGCTAGTACTGTAAGATTGATCGGTAAGTGGATGGTGGTATATCGGCAACAAAATGAAAAGGCAATTGAAAATCGCTCCGTAAGCGATGAAGTGGCTATGTTTATGATTAATGCAGAAGGCCCTGATTCATGCTTAAATGTCGTCAAGACATTTGTCGAGCAAGTGCTTAAGCCATCTATTGAAGCTGTTACAGATTTTGGACTTGCTGAAAAGGAGCAATTACAAAAGTTCTTCCATATTTTAAATATGTACAATACATTTCTGAAGTCGTCGGCTGCAATAGTATCTTCTCGTGTCAACTTTGACGTTTCGCATGATCTCTTTAAAGGATTTTTATTAGCACGATGGCAAATTGAAGCTAGCTCAAAAATTGTGAGCCGTGTGAGGCTAGTAGAACGGTATTTTGAGAAATGGTTACGGCAGATTCAAGGAATACTAGTTGAAGGAAAGCAAATACAGCGTGATCCTCCTGACGTCGGGCCATTACACATGTTAGTCAACTGGCGCCAAATGTTAGCTAAGCTAACCTCTATTACAGAATTTGTAACTTCTCGTGCTTTCAATAACCACAAAGATTGCCTAACATTATCGCGTTCTTCAAAGCTTCTTAATGTATGTATATTTACTAATATTGATTATTATACTCGGAAACGAGTTGAGGAGAGGCTTTTGGTTTTTTGTACATTTACTTGTTTGTCTGACGGTCCATTCTTTTAATTCTAATTAGATGCTAGTGGATATTTTTTATACCCTGTCGCCGGCCCCACAGGCGCTTTCTTACTAGTTGCTTTTTATTTTAAGCAATTCATTGGAACTATGTGCCTCAATTATTTATTTATTTTATTTTTATTTGTTTTATTTTTGTTTATTTTATTTTTCTTTAAACGCTGTAAATAACAGGTACAATTTTATTTGTGGGTACAGTTCAGCTTATGTTTGACAGAATCATATCCGGCAATAGATCGATAAATGAATCGATGAATTCTATACATAATGAAAATTGTATAACTTTAAATCTTGACCGCTAGTAACCTCTTTTCCAACATTATTAAATTTAGCAATGTTTCATCGTGAACGAGTTTAACAGTCAGCATTCGCGACTGTATTTTATACCCTGTACCTGTACCCATTGTAAATGAAAAATCAGGGTATAATGGTTTTGTTTATTACATTCTTTATTGTTCTGCATTTTATTCTTTAGCGGTGGGATAAAATCGATAACCAGGTAACATTAGCGTTAAACGAAGCAAAAGATAATGTTCGTTTTATTTCATCATTACAAAAATTTTGGGACCCACTATACAGGTAAAATATTGTAAAAATATTATTTAAATCCTTCAAAACTTAAGTAATTATAACACAGGTCATCACCAGATGAAATTATAAGTAGTTTACCGGGACTAATGGTTGCAATCCGCAATGTTTGCAAAACAGCACATTATTTTAATACTTCAGTCAATTTGACTGGACTCATGGTCAAAATATCTAATCAGCTTACTATTACCAGCAAAAATTTTATAACTGATAATGAACATCGTAGCCTTTGGGAGATATCTTCAGTAGAGATTATCGAAAAAATTGAAAAATGTAGAGATGTTATGGATCACTTCAAAAACATATATATAAACACCGTAGAGGAAATGAAAAATAGTAATGAAAGACCATGGACTGTATCTTCAGTTTACATATTTACATGTTTAGAAAAATTTCTTCATCGCCTGGAAAAAATAAAGTGTATAGCAAATACCGAAATAATATATTCAATTTTGGATCGCATATTAATAAGTGGAATGGAAAAATTTAATACGATGATAAAAGCTGCTCGTATAACTATAAGTAGTAAACTGTATGATCCCTTAAATTATCGCATTGAAACATTTGATACAGATTTTGAAAAATTTGTTAAAGAGGTTGAAGTAGCAGAGGTTGGAATGCAGCAATTTGTAAAATTGCTTACAACTGAATGTCCAACGGCGGAATCAATGATGTTAATACTAAAACGTTTTGAAGCATTGCATTTAGAGTGCTTGTGTTTGGATCGAAGATATTTTAAGGTTGCCGAAATGTTAGAAAAGGAAATGCTTTTGCTCAAGGATGTATATAATGAGGAACGAGGTAATCCTTTCATACCACGTAACTTACCTCCTGTTGCTGGTCGTATTGTTTGGATTCGTTCGATCTTCAAAAAAATTGATATACCAATGCAAGCGTTAAAGTTACGACATTGTGTTCTTGCCCACAAAAAAGCACAGCGCACAGTTCGCTACTATAACTACATGAATGGGATTGTTTGTCATTATGAAATGGCTTATCATAAAGCTTGGTTTGATTACGTTGAGGAAGTGCGATGTGCTCTTAATGCTCCCATTTTAACTATTAATAAAGACGAAGCTCTATATACCATAAATTTAGATCGGTCTATTTTGCAACTTATATCTGAAACCGAATGGATGTGGAAACTGCATTTAGAAGTTCCAAATATGGCTTCAACTGTAGCATATTGCAAAGATCGTATTTTTCATCCATTTAATACTTTAAAACTAACTCTGCAGCGACTCGATCGTTTACGATCATCGTTGACTCCAGTGTTTATTAATATAATGAGGTTTCGGTTGCAGGAAATATCTGTAATGCTAAAACCTTCTCTCTCTTCGGTGACATGGATATCGAAAAATTTAGAAGATTTTGTTGAAAAAGTTTGTATGGTAAGAAAAATGTACTTAAATTATTGTCTATCTAACATATTTATTGATTATTATTGTTTTGTTTTTATCACAGAAAATTCAAGAAGTGGAAATATTTTTTGGATTGATCTTAGACATTGAGGAGCTTAGAGTTATGCAAGAAATATATAATATATCTGAATTCTTATATATTTACGTTCCCGATGAACCCGTACCATCTTATCAATTTGTTGAAGAGAGTAATAAGTTGCGAGCAAAAATTGGTGAGTATTCTAAAAACTAGGAATTTCTATAACTAAAGTGTTATGTGAACTTTAAGAACGCGTACTTGAGAAGAAATCAATATGTATGGAACGCGCTGTTATCGACATTATAAATATGTTTATTGATTTGCTAGACTTTGAGCAATCAGATTCAAAAGGACGACGTGTATTTCAGCTACCAGCAGAAAAGCTAAACGATACTAATTGGCGGACTGAGGGTTTTTTGCCAATTGATAAATGGGATTTTATCCAGTTTCACAAAATATACAGAACAATTTATTTAGCACCTGACGATGTACTAAAGACCCTACAATTTCGGAATTATGAGAATATACGGTATGAACTTCATCATTTACGTAATGACTGTATGGATCTGTTTTCTTACTATAACTCCAAAATTATTTTGGCCTTGGTTGCTGGATCTAAACGATCTTTAGATTTTGTACGACAAAATATACTCAGGTAAGAAATTTTATGTAATATTAAACAAGTAATAGTATATTAATATTAAAACAAGTAAGAAAGCTCTAGTCGAGACTGCTCGACTACGAGATCCCCTGAACCCTTGGAGTAATAGCTATTTCAATAATTTTTCGCGTCTTTCAACTTACACAAGAAACACGCACACACACACACA